TTCTATCGTTATACTTATGTACGGAATAAGTATTTATGAGATAAATACTTATAAAATTTTTAAATTCCGCTGCATTATTTGTTCCGTACGGGTATATCGAACCCAACAACAGCTATATTCGACTGATTAGATTTAAGTAAGGAGAAATTTTATATAAATTATAAGTATAAAATATACTTTTGGTATATTTAATATATAATTTTATCATATTTAGTTATTTATTTATGTATGTATATGACATACATGGTTTTAGTAAATAAAAAATTAATATAAGTAATACGTAGTAGTTAATAAATATAAAAATTGTAAAACCATGTTATATACATTGCTATAGCTTAGTGGTGAGAGCGTCACTTTGAAATGCAAGATGTCCCAAGTTCAAATCTCACTATATGTAAAGTTTATAGTTGTCAATATGATTTGTGTAGAAGCTTGTTTCTTATGCCTTCCGGTGTGTGAGTGGTGGATTGCGATAAATAAAATAATTTTAAAAAAAAAAATGATTTGTTATTATTTTTCCTGGTGAAATTTATCATTATATATTAGTGTTTAAATGATGAATATTTAAGGGCTTGATTGTTTACCAAATAATTTACTCATTTTTATTTCAACTCAAAATCTAACTCAACTTTAACTCAACCACACTATCTTTAATATTATTAATATAATTAAATAATTCAAACCAATCATTCTTACACATCACATCAACTTTAATTCACTATTCATCCACTCACATAATTTTAACTACCTATAAATTCCAATCATTTATCTCTTACTTTTACATCAAATCAATTTTACTCATTTTATTTTAAATATTATTTTAATACATTCTTAAAATTCCAATAACAACTAACCATACCACTTTTTTTTAAATTAACTATAGTTAATCAAAATAACTCATTTTGAACAAATTATTTCATAAACAATCAAGCCCTAAATTTGTCATATAAAGATATATTGAAGTGACAAAATTTGATTATAAAAATGAGAAGTTCGTCATTATAGATTAATATTCAGATGAAAAAATATTATTGGTCATTTAAATTCGATCTTTTAGTGATGATTTAAGAATTTCAATGACGAATTTTTCATATGAGATAATTACCCCGTCCACAAGCACATGTCCTTTCATTTCCCAAAGTGCGAATTGAAAAGTTTCATTCCACTTCTATATTAATTGGTTCTTAATTACAAATTTTTTAACATTTTAATTCCAGAAAAGTCAAATGTGAACACTTCTTAATATCTTCTTACAAACCCCAAGCCTAAAGCATCTCTGTAAAACACCAAACACACCACAAATCTAGTTTCTCTTGTTTTAATCCTCCCCGTCCTCCCCTTCCAGAAGCAAATCACATCATTCTTCGGCGCCCATCTTCCTCCGCCTATCGGCCGTGGCTTGCTCCCCTCCGCCTCAGTCGCAGTTTGTTTTATTTGTAGTTTATATTCACTTTATTCATTTAATTGATTTTTTTGTCTATTTATCTCTTTACCATTTAGTTAAAAACTAATTAATAAACTTAAGATTAACTAGAAGTTCCAAAATTTGTTATAAATAAAGTATATAAATAATGTAATAAACTTAAGATAAACTGAAAATAATCTAAAACAATTGTTTTTAATAAAGTATGAAATAATATAATTAACTTAGGATAAATTTAAGATAAACTGAAATTAATATAATAAACTGAAAATAATATAATAAACTGAAGATAAACTGAAAATAATATAATAAACTTAAAATAAACAAAAAATAATCGAAAAGAATTTATAGAAGAAAATGATGATAAATATAAAATAGTAGATATATTCTATGAATACAATTTCAACAATAATGTTTGCGATTTTGTAGATGAATTGTTAATTATAGTACAATTATAGGATAAAAGTTTGTCTCTCGCACATAAGGTATCCATCTAAATATTGCACGTATTTGTGTCTTTAAGCCATATTTAAAGTGATGAAATAGACGTCACTAAATTTAATTTTTTTATGACACATCATAATAATGTCACATAGACATTTTGTGACGCGGCTACGGTGACGAATATTGGGACGAATTTTTTTTCACTATGTACTTTTAGGTGACGAAAAATAAATTTTTTATGACGAATATTTTCGTCGTAAAATATCAAATTTCTTGTAGCATGGCTTGGATAGGCGACGAGATCTCTCGGTTTATTGGGTTTCAAAATGGTGGACCTCGGTTCCTATTTAGGCGTTCCACTTATACATGACCGGCCCACGGGCCAAAAGTATGAGAGAATTATTGAGAAGGCGGACAAGCGGCTGTCGGGTGGAAAGCGGCGTCCTTATCATGGCTGGTCGTGTAGTTTTGGCGAATGCAGTCGTATACGCCCTCCCTTTCTATACAATACAATCAGTTCGTCTGCCGGCCTCCATTTGTGAGGGCTTGGAGAAACGTCTGAGACGTTTTATTTGGGGGAGCTCGCGCGACAACAGAAAAATTAGTCTGGTTAAGTGGGAGGAGGTTTGTATGGCGCGGGACCATGGTGGCCTGAGTCTGACACGCCAAAGAACGATGAACGGAGCTTTTCTAATGAAGCTAAGCTGAAAGATGGCCTACTCCAAAACACATATATACACCAAATCAATAATCGAAGTCATGGATTTGTTTGCAAAATCCAACGCATATGATTAGGTTGAAATAATGGATTGGTACCCAACAAAAGTATACTTTTGATTTTACTATCGTCCATTTTTACTCCTAAAAAATATTGATAAAACATTTTTCATCAACCTCAACAAAGTCGTCCCAAAAACTGAGGTTTCTTCCCACAACAACCAAGACAGAAAGACCGACAAAAATAAAAAATATAATATATTCTCGCAGTTACTTAACCAAAAGTCTAAAACAGAGGACAATAGTGAAAGGGAAAAAAAAAAGGGTCAATCCAGGAAACCAGTTTTCTGCCATATGGCGTTTCTAACCCTGCTGAGATCTCTTCCCTTGAGGGTCCTCCCCACTCCCTCCTCCACCGACAACGACGCCGTCCAATTTCTCGCCAGAAACTCATGCGGCGGCACCAGACCCACCGACGACGACGACGACGACGACGAGCTCTCCCACCGCCGGTACTCCTCCTTCAGTATCTTCGACCACTCTGGAATGTTCATAGGCAGAGACGACGGGCCGCCTCTCGCGGGATTCCTCCTCGACGTCGACTTGCGCAGCTCCGGCGACAGAGAGACTCCCACCGACGAATCCCAGACGTCGGACTCGTCAAGCTCGAAGATCGTCGGGTCGGTCGGGAGGAACCCATAGTTTGATCCGGCGAAGTAGCCTTTGGATGCCGCCATACACGAATTCGATTGAAGCTTTGATTAACTTTTGGATTGTGTTGTTAATATTCCATTTTTGTTTGTGTGCTTTGGTTGGGATTTGGGAAGGAAGATGAGTAGGATTTAGGATGAGAATGGGGAGGGCTTTTATCTGCTTTTTATAAATTAAATTAAGTAAAATGGTTGGAATGGATAAAGTTCCCCAATCCCCATTCATTTCACCCCACCCCCTTTCTTTTGTCTCTTTGTGTGTCTAAGCTGTAATCTGCTTTCTTCTCACTGTCATACTAATAATAGTGTTTTCTTTTGCACTGGGCAGAATGAGTTAATTACAATTATGAAAAGTGAGTAGTGAGTACCATTGCCTAAGGCACATTCTTAGGAAATGATGATATGGTCTTCCGTTTTTGTAATCGTTAAATCATCACCTAACCGTCAAAAATTATTGATCTAACGATTGTAAGCCTCGACGAAATTATTTCGTAACGGAACGGGATCGTAATTTAATTTAGAATTATCTGTTTACCTGCCATTTGGGTATTTTTCAATTTTTTATTCACAATGTTATCCACTTCCCCCACACGTCTCCTATAATTTAATTTAATTTTCCACGTAGTGAGAAAGGGTTATTTTAGTAATACAAACGTCTAGTCTCTTTGGGAGGGGGGCAAATACTTAGGTGTGCCTTGGCACACCTTGCTAGGTGTGCCAGGGCCTTTTGTGAAATGCAATCCTCCCAAAGACGCGTGAGGTAAGAGGTAAGGAGGTAAGTATTTTTTTTAAAAAAAAAAATGGGACATGTGTCCCATATATCATATTATATAAATTAAATTATCATTCATGTTTTGTATCAAAAAATAAAAATAAAAATACCAAAATTCATAATTTTTCATTCTCTACAAATATAGACCACATTTGATATTTTTGGAACACAATTAATTTATCATTTTTTACAATTTATCTTATTGGAAGATTATGACGCAAATCTATAATTAGATGAATATGTTACATAGTAATATGAACATGTTATAGAGTAAGATGAACATGTCATAAAATAAGATGAAAATGTTACATTTTCACAAATAAAATTTAGCTGAACATGTTCTAAAATAAGATGAACATGTTACATAATAAAATGAACATGTTATAAAATAAGATGAACATGTTACATAATAAAATGAACATGTTATAGAATAAAATGAATATGCTTAGATTCCATATCTACATCACGGGCTCTCACATTATTTTCTCCCATTTCCACTTCATACACAAAATTCTGGTCAATTTCTTGCTCGACTTTCACTCGTTTAATGCAAGCATCCCCGCCCTGAAATAATAAACCATAATCTACAGTTAAGAACTCAAATTTATGCAATAGTCATACTATAGGGAATGAAAGTGAAAAACTAGTAGAATGTAAAAGAAATTCCATAAATTAGTCTTTCGATCGAATATCCTCCACATTCACAAACCAAAATCCTCTCTAATAAGATGAAAATGTTATATTTTCACAGATGAAATTTAGATGAACATGTTATAAAATAAGATGAACATGTTATATAATGAACATGTTATAGAATAAGATGAACATGTTACATAATAAAATGAACATGTTATAGAATAAGTTGAACATGTTACATACACAATAAGGTGGACATATTATAAAACGAAAAATTAGCTGTGTTAAAAATCCTATCAAATGTCTCTATTTATAGATAATGAAAAATTATGAATTTTGGTATTTTTATTTTATTTTTTTAATATAAATAATTAATGATATTTTAATTTATGTAATATGTGTCATTTTTCAATTAAAAAAGAAAATTGGGGATGTGCACTACACTCTCTTAATTTTTCTAGTTTTAGGGAGTAAAGAGCGCGTGCAAATGTGCCCTGGCACACCTAGCTAGGTGTGCCAGGGCACACGGTAGTGCTACTGTAGGAGGGGACCTTCACTTTCTTCTGCCCTTCTAGAAAAACTGACGCGTGGTGTCAATTCATGGCTCTAAGTACACTCTGAAGAAGCGTGACCGCAGGTGAAGTTGGGCCCACTTTAAATGGATCTAGTGACCTGGATCCTGCCAGCTGGATTTTATTGGTAATTAACAAATAATGAGGATAATTTGGAGTGCAGTCATCTATTTTTTTTTTTTTTAAAAAAAGTTTCTTATTAATGTAACTGAGTTTACGAAAGGAGTAAAATGCACCAAACCCCCTATAATATACTAAATTTGTGCGTTATCCTCCTCTATTTTAACAAATGCGTCAAACTCACTTCTATTGTAGTTTTGCATGCGCGAAGCACCCTAAACCGTCTAAGATGACGGAAGTGATGTGCACGCGCGTACTGTGCGGCTTTTGCTTCATTCTTTCACCCCAAAGTCGCGGAAATGACTGACCCTTAAAATCAGCCATTAAAATGTTGGTCTTCATCCCTAATGCAACCCTAAAATCATTGCATACACAGGAAAAAAAATCGCACATTTCTTCCCCAATTTCACCCTAAAATCACAGCACATAGGAAAAAAATCACAGCACGAAGATATTGAAGGTACTTACTCCCTTCTCCATTTTTATTTTTTCTTTGAGGCGAAAATCGAAGCAACCTAACTCGCTCAAAAATTGTAGAGCAGCAGGTTTTTTTTCCCATCGTATTCCTTGTTTTTCGCTCGAAATGCAGCAGATTAAAAAAAAAACACACACAACAGTAAGCAATGCACCAGAAATCGGACCAAAAGTTTTGGCTGTTTTTTTTTTTTTTGTTTCGTTCAAAATGCAGCAAAAATATTTTATTTTTTTATTTTTTTTGTAGGTTGAAGATGTCTACTTCCCAAAAATCAAAGATGTCAAAGAATGAGAGTTTGGATCTAAGGTATAAGCACCCTAAGTGTTATTGCAACACATTTGCTCACATTCGGGTCGTTGGTCCTACAAAAGAAACTGTTGGCAAACTATTTTGCAATTGTCTGTACAACAAATGTCGTTTCTTTGCTTGGCTTAAACCTACCTCCGTGAATTGGGTGAAGTCAAATGAAATTCATGAAGATGAATTTTGTTATGAAGATGATGATGATGATGAAGTTCAATCAACCGGAGCAAAGCTAACAAATGAAAATGTCGAAGTCGCAACAATGCTGAAGGAGATGCAGTCAAAGATGGAGAAAATTGAGAAGAAATTTAGCAATGGGTTGCTTTTTTTGGTTATTGTAATCCTTTTGGCTGTTATTGTTCTCAAGTAATTTTAGATGATAATTAATGTAATCATTTGGACAATGTAATCTTTTATTATCAATTTATTTTTCTCAAAAACGATAGAACGATTCTCATTAAAACCAAGAACAAAGGTACAACCTAGAGGATCAAAGATCTAAGATTACACACAAACTAGCCCAGAGGGACATTCACTGATGCCTTAATAACCAAAAACATCTCCAAACTGGAAGCAGCAAGTCAAAACCAAAGGAAACAAGCACTAAAACCTGCAACATAACTACTAACTAGATCAAACTTCAACTACAATAACATCTTCAAAATATCAACATTCCAGCCACTCAAGTCTCACCACATCTATCTCCAACAATGTAACCTTCAAAACACTGTTATCCCTACTATCAATAGCCACAGATAGCCAAAAATACTGTCATCATTCTAAACATTACTATCAATAGCCAAAATAGCCAAAAATACATTCAATAGCATTCAAAACAACACTATAATCGCCATAAATTATCCAAAATACTGTCAATATCCAAAAACACCAAATGTAGTTTATAACTGCCATCATCACAAACACTAACCAACATGCAAAAAAAAGCAATTGTTCATGAAATCAAATTTTACTGACCAACACGCCATGAAATCAGTAATCACCACCATATTCCCTGCTTTGTTGAGTGAAGGTTTGAGGACCAAAGCACTGAATAAAATCTTCAAAAGATGGCATGGATGGCACATATGGCTCTGGCTGAGAAGGTGGCTGAGATGGTTGTGGCTATGACTAAGATGGTTGTGGCTGTGGTTGAGATGATTGTGTTTGTGGCTAGGATGGCTGCAAAAAAAGCAAACAAAAAACAAAACAAAATCATGTCATAGGTTGAATTGTGATTGCTGAAATAACAAAAGATTGGAAGTTGACAAACTTAAAGTATTCACTGACTTGTTGACCTCCACCTCTTCTTTTGGGGCACCTTCTCCTATTATGATTGTTTTCACCACATAAAGTGCATCTCTTGATAAACCCCTTTCTGCTACTGTTTGTTGCTGCCATAGGTCTCATATCATTAGCGTCAGCTCTTCTTTTCTTTGTTGGCCTACCCTTTTTTTTTCACAGCACCAGGCGGTTGAATTGGACCAATTTCAGACTCCTCATATTCATTCATCCCTGGAACTGGGAAGATCATATGGCTATACATCCTGATATACATGTCCTTTTTGAAAAAAATCAGACACATAATCAGATATGCTGAACCTATGATAAGAGATGCATGCCAGTGCATGGCAATAGGGGTAGCCAACCACTTGAAACATACCACAAGTGCACCTTCTTGCTCCCAATTGGACTATATGGCTGTTTACTCCATGAACCACAACATACTTGTCTTCTCCAGCCCAAGTAGGGAAACAATTCCTACTAATTTCCCTTTGCTCTTCAATTTTTCTCACTGTATTAGGACAAATGTCCTCTGTGTACTTCTCTATTCCAACTTTCTTCACCTGGATTCTTGCCATCATTCTCCTTCTGATCCACTCAAACATGTCCACAATAGCCATATCCCTAGCTTCCAAAATATAGTTGTTGAAGGACTCTGAAATATTATTAACTAGCACATCACACACTGCATTAGGAGAAAAGAAACACCTTTGTCCAGTGTTCTTCAAGGACAACCTTCAACCATTCAAATGGAGTTACCTACAACAAATAAATCATATTATTAATAAAGCATGACCAACTAAGTAAAAACTACCTACAACAAAACCATGATTTGCAAAAAGTAAAAAGCATGAACACAAAGTAAAAA